GCACGTTGTGGTGGTGGGAGATTGGCAGCCTGATATCTGAAAGTCTTTGATGCAGACCTTGCAAATTCAGCGCTTTGCAGGTCACATGCCAGGAGCCATTTTAGTCAAAATATTTAACTCATCTCCCACTTGGCAAATCCTGTCCCTGGGGTCAGTTAAACCTGGAAAAGGAAAGACTCGGGTGTGGGAACAGAAGCAGCACAGTCCCTAACTCTTGCCCTTTCATCTGGGAGTGAGTTTGAAGTGCAACATAAACATTTATGATGGTTATTAATTTTAAAAAGTGATGATAAAGGTAAATGAGTATGCAAAGTATGAAAAGTGTATGACCATATGAGTATGGTATGAGTATGGAAAGTTTTATTTCACATCCCTGAAAGTTTCTGGAATGAGGTTAATCAGTTGGAAATCTGTGAAATGCAATAACTTATGACTTGCTTTATAGTTCAAATATGCTTTAGGCAGCTTCTTCAAGCTGTTTCCCAGTGACACAGCAGATTTTGTCATGAGTAGAATATAGCTCCAAGAGCTGCCTGAATCCAGCACTTAATCAACCTGGGCTTCCTTCAGCTGGAGAGATGAGAATGATGCTTGTGTCAAGGGAGAGACGAGAACAAGTCCCTGAACAGTTGGAATCTGAGCTATTGATGATTCCAAGGTTGTAGAAAGTCTCTGTCTTTCAGCCCCACTGCCAAAGAAGAAGCCATAATTGATCTGTGCTGGTTTCCAGGTTGTTTATTCGTGCTTATCTATAACATGTTTTGTCTGTCTTGCTGCAGCTCTGTCCTGCAGGGCAGCGTGTGGGGCTCTGCCCTCAGTGGGATGTGACAAACATTAAATACCAGAAACTCCCTGGGCTGGATTTACAATAACGTGCCAATATCTGTCACCTACGTTGGACAGTGTGTCCCCAGCCTGAACCAACAGAAAAATGCCAACACCACAGTGAGACATGGAGGGCATGAAGAAGAAAATGGACAAGACTCTCCTAATTTCCTCCATCTTGCCCCTTGAATCCCTTATCTAGAATCCTAAAATTTTACTTTTGCACCCGTTCCACACTTAATTATTACTTCTATCAAACACTCAGAGCTTGTGATTCATCCTGTAGGATTGAAAACTCTTTTCCATGGACAGAGATCACAGCCAGTGTCTCTGGGGGCTCTGTCCAGGGGGGTTCCTGACCCCTGCCAGGGTCCCAGGGCAGCCAGAGGGAAGCTCTGGATTCCCACAGAACATGTGCACTGTAAAATAATCAGGGCAATAGACAGGGAAGGTTTAAAGTTCTCTTTGTCAGGAGGGGTCAGGAGCTCTGTCACCCTGTGACAGGTCACCTGCCCAGTGCCAGGGACCTGCAGGACCAAGGCAGGAGCCCAGGGAGGCTCTGTCCTGTTGCTGCCCAGCAGAGTGGGGTCAGATCCTGGCGTGGCCCTCCTGCAGGAAGCACCAGGGATTTTGGCTGAAGGTGTTTGTATCGTGACCCTTGCCAAAAGCTGCTCCTCGTGCAGGCTGTGCCCAGCTGGGGGAGGGACAGCCACCCCAGTGCTCCAGAGAGGCTTTCCTGCCACTCTGGGAGCTGCTGGGAGGTACAGGCTGGTTCAAGCTTTGCAGGGTGAGTGGGTTTCTGTCAGGGCACACTTCTCATTTCTCCCCCACAGAGAAACCTCTGGTGATGCCTCAGTGTGGGAGAGGTTTTACAGTGAGTTCTGTGGGCCAGAAGGAAGCTGGATCCATGTTTACCCCTGAAAGAATTTCCTACCAAGGTTGTTGACACAGAAACCAAGAAAGAAAGAAGGATAAATAAGAGAAACCTGCACCTGCCTATTCCAATCAGCACTTTGTTTGTCTCTGGAGTAAAGTGTAAAATTATGAGCTTTGTAAGAATGTATAAAAAGCATGCAGGTTATAATAAAAACAGTTTGAAGCCTTCTGAAAATGGAGAGTGTTGTTTTGTGTTGTCTCTGTCTCAACTATGACACCTTAGGATTTTAGCTTTTGTATTTTTCATCTATTTGTAATCCTGCAGTTTTTTAGTGTATAACTAAATTCCACACACAGTGTGAGCTGCTGCTGCTTTCCCATTCTGGTCAGGCACAAAAATTCCTCTCCAGGCCTGGCAATCAAGGTTACCTCACTGCCTCAGGCCTCGAGAGATGGAAACAAAAGTGAGTTTTGGGGAGCAAACTCGGGGTAAATGACTTCATTACCTGAAGCTGTAATTAGAAGATTAACCCTCAATATGCAAATGGACCAAACTTATAGGTGTGAAAACCTGTGACCCGTGGTGCATTTTTGGGTGTAGCACCTGGGGGGGCTTTTGCTTTGCCTGAAATGTACCTTTTGATAAATATAATCACTTTTTATTCC